TCTGGAGTAGCAAACAGCCACAAGATAAAAGATATGCCAAACACTGGGCTCACCATTCTGGACTTCCAACTCCGTCCATATCCTGGGCTGATAACTCTTCATTTTGCCTTTTACTAGTTGTCCTCAATAGGGAGTTGGTCTGAACTATCTAACCTAGCATTACTAGAAGCTGATATTCAATAAATGTTAGTTCTCCCCCATTTCTGCCTCACCCCCAAGCCTGAATGATGTTACACTTCAGGCTAACAAATCAAAGCAGCACACAAGACACAGAAGAGAAGAAAAAGTACTGAGCAGCTTCAAAAGCATCTGGGCATCAAGACTAGGACAGGCAGGTTTGCATTCCTCACTAGCCCACCACCTGACCTTTGCTTCATGATCCATGTCCTTCCCAGAATGCCTTCCTTTCTCTCTTCCACCTATCTAAGCTCTTTCAACCTGGGGATATTATGGGCATCCTTCTATATTTAAAAAACAACAACAATTTCTCTTTGATGTTTTTCTACTATGGTATTCTCAGTAATGAGTCCTATACATGTTGCCAGCCAGTCTGGCCACTTCCCAAATGCCTTCCCTAGCAACTGCAGACCACCCCACTCTCCTTCCCTAGAAATCTACTACAATAACCATTCACCACACCCTCTTTGTACTTATGGTTTGGTTTAAGTCTAATCCCCTAGAGTCACTAGGTAATTCCTTAAGGACCATGTCTCTCCTCAACCACCCCTCCCTTCAACAGCTCTCCAAAAATACTTGTATTCATGTATTCTCTGAAAACCAAAGATCCTTTATTATGGGAGTAGGGTTTCCAAATCTTGGGATAATTATCCTCAAGACTCAGGGTTTCCTGGACAGCCTCTCAGGTCCCCTCCCTCTTGGGGTGCTCTGTACTATCACTCAATAAACTTTGCTTTGCTGCTCACAAAAAAAAAAAAAAAAAAAAAAAACCCTAAACAACAAAAAAGGCGGGGGGTACCTGGGTGGCTCATTTGGTTAAGCGTCTCCTTTTGGCTCAGGTCATGATCTTGGGGTCCTGGGATTGAACCCCACATAGGGCTCCCTGCTCAGCAGGGAGTCTGCTTCTCTCTCTCACTCTGCCACTCTCCTTGCTTGTGTTCTCTCTCTATCAAATAAATAAAATCTTAAAAAAAAAAAAAAAAAGACTTCCAGGGTTTCCCAAGAAGACACACTCTGAGGTCTCAAGGCATTCAGCAGAGCTCTGCCATGCGTACACATCCCCTCCAAGGATCTGGGCAGATGGCACACTCTACCATGTCCCCATACTCCTGTACCTCAGCTCCAGATATCTAAGCCAGTCTCAGAGAAGGTCTCAGACTAGGGCACTAAAAAGCAACTTTTGAGGTACCTGAAGGCCAGTTCCCATTCACTAAGTACCTTCAGGGAAGATTGCTTTTGCCCGGATAAAGAGCCCTCTGCACAGCATCACTGGGTTCTAGGCAGGGAGAGGGGGAGTGTCTGGACATACTTCACAATCCAAGAGGTCTCAGTCCCAACATCTGCTCCCATCCATACCCAATATGGAAGCCTAATTTGAACTGCTGGAGATATCCCCTATATCCGGGAAAGGAAATCGAGACAGAGTAGGGGAACAGTGGCATCTTATCCCAGAGGCAGGGATCCTTCCAGTACCTGACCCTGACAAGTGACATGCTGGCCCATATGAAGAAAATAAGAGAACTAAAATGAGATATGAAAAAAAGGCTTGAATAATGGAAATGAATACCATGCTGTCAGACGAGAAAGCTAAAGATACGGGTTTTTCCAAATTAATTCCTATACTTACTATATTCCCAATCAGAATCCCAATGACACAGAAACAGAAAGCACATTTGTGGTTGCCTGGGTCTGCGGGGTGGGGACAAGGATGAACTGCAAAAAAGGAACAGGGACCTTTTTAGGGTGATGGAAATGTCTGAAAACTAGATTTTGGTCATGTCTTCATAACTCTAAACTGTGTACATTATGTTGCACATTTGGAATAAGTGAATGTTATGGTATATATACCTCAATAAAGCTGTTTAAAATACATAACTGGCAAGTTTTACCAAAAGATCATTCCAAATGCAAAGTGGACTTGAGTTTTCCATGAGAAGATTTAACAAGCTTGTGAGCTTGTTAAAAACAGCTTACCGCTTTTTTTTAATGTGATTTTTTAAAAGTGGTAAATATACAGGTACAAGGTTAAAAACAACAACAACAACAAAACCAAACAAATGAAAAGAAAACCGCAGTGGCATCTGGAAGTTTAAAGAACTTGAAACAATGATTCTGAAGTTTCCCTAGAGGAATAAAATGGAAAAAAGAGCTAAGAAAAATTTTAAAAGGCATCTAAGATGGTTGTTCTGCCAGAAATTAAAGCCGCAATCATTAAAACAAGATCATTCTGCTGTGAGGATCGATAGCCAGATTAATGGGTTGTGATAGGTATACATAGGAACTAAAATAGGCTTTAGTGTGTATAAAAATAAGTATATACAGAAAGAATCACAAATGAATACCTTAGAGTTAAATATTTCACAAATGATATTGGGGGGAATTACCTATTCAATTAACGGAAGATCGAGCTGGAATCTAAGGAATCTACGTACTCAGACCAACATCAAGTTAATTTAAAAGTCAAGTGGAGAAATTCAAACAACAAAAATTATTTTTAAAATGTAGATTCATACTCAACTAACCTCAGAATAGGGAAGGAATGCTTAAACCATGGGAGGTGGTTCAATGGTAAACGGCAGCCCATACAAACATTAACGTTTTCCAGAAAACTTTTAGGGACTGTGAGAAAATGCTCATGAAATAATGAGAAAGAGGGGCGCCTGGGTGGCTCAGTGGGTTAAAGCCTCTGCCTTCCGGTCAGGTCATGATCTCAGGGTTCTGGGATCGAGTCCCGTATCGGGCTCTCTGCTCAGCAGGGAACCTGCTTCCCCGTCTCTCTCTGCCTGCCTCCCTGCCTACTTGTGATCTCTGTCTGCCAAATAAATAAACAAAATCTTAAAAAAAAAAGAAAAAATGAGAGGGGAAGAAAGCAGGATATATGACTGAATCAGAGGAGCAAGACACACTGAATTTTAAAAATAAGAGAACTGCATATACAGAAAGATTGGTAGATACATCACGATGCTTCTCGATGGTAGAATTCTAGGTGAGCTGTTATTTATCCCATTGAATTTTTAAGGGTTCCCCCCATATTTGTCACCACAAGTATGGGTGTCTTTCAAGAGATTTTTTAAAGACTTGGTAGGATGAGAAGATGAAAAAACAATCGGATTCAGCCACGAAAGAGCAGCAGGTTTGGCATATGCCTAGACGTTAAATGCATTTTTCACCTGTGTGATCTATGTCACAGTTTTCTAAGTACAGAAAATAGAAGTCGCACATGCGTCTTGCAGGGACCATGGAACCAGGGCGGGCCGCCTCTCCTGCGCCTGCCGCTCCTCTGAAAGGCAAGGAGGGCCCCGCTGGGAGGGGGCAGGCGGCCTGGCCCTGGTGTCCCCTCCGCTGTGGGCAGGGAGGCCGCCTTCGTCAGACCTGGCTGCTGGCCTGGTCACTTCCCGAATGCGCTCCCTGGGGGCCCCTGCCTGTGGGCTGGGTCAGGCACGCGGAGCAGCGCCATCAGGGCCACTAGGAACTCAGCCCACCAGCTGCCAGCATCCCCGGAGACCAAGCATGAGCTCTGGGTCACCAACCTCCAAGAGTCTGGCTTGAGGTCCGCCCCCTCCCAGGCCCTCTGGACCTACTGTCCCCACAGACTAACTCAGCACCACTCTTGAAACGCCAGAAGTTCTCTCTGTGGGAAGGGCAGCCCCCCCTTTGCCTGTGAAGCTCTGTCCCCCACGAGGTCCCAGGGCAGGTAGCTTGTCCCTTCTGCCGTCTGTCCTCCCTCTTGAAACCGTTCCCTTTCTGCCACTCAGAAGAAATATGGCCTTTTTTCTGCCCATTGTGAAACTGTCTCCCCAAAACTCCTGTGAAACACCGTCTGCCTTCCCCTTTCGGGGGGCCTGGCTGACTCTTGATTTTGGCTCAGGTCGTGATCTCAGGGTCATGGGATCCAGCCCCACTTTGTATGGGGGAGGGGGGAAGTCTGCTTCTCCCTCTGGCTCTGCTCCTGCCCCGCTCACTCTCTAATAAATTTTTAAAAATAAAAATAAAAATGAAATACGATCTGCCCTCTGCCTGAGACATGCAGCACTGACCAAAGGGGACAAACTTCCCTCTGTCACTCTTCTCAATCCCGTTCTCCCCCTCTGCTCCCTGAACTTCTCAGTGCTGTCACTCATCTCTTCTTTGAACAGTGGATTCCCCCATCCCTACCTTCCCTCCGTTGGCCACCTGATCCCCAGGAAATGATGGCCCTCCTGTTCCCAGATAAAAAAGGTGTCCTCGGTCCCCCACCTGTCGCCCACCGTAGAAATCATCTTACTCCTCCTGCCATTTACTAGTTCTTAACGCGCTCCAGGCCCTCGGCTGAGCAGGCAGGCTCTCCCAACAGCCTACGACGTAGGTAGCATTTTTATTCTGATTTTATAACTTGCCCCAATCACCAGAGTTAAGCATAGTCAGAATTGCAAATAGGTACGCCTGACTCTGAAATCCTAGATAAAAACCCAAATTAAACCAGAATTTCCTGGACAGTTGATATTCGTAGAAATCTAAGCATCCAGGTCGAGACCCACCACACCCTACAGCTCACCCCTGCTCCTCAGTCTCCCCATGAAACACTGCTGCCTCAGTGAACCCCAGGAAAGCCCTCCACTGGCTCTTTTCTCCCTAAAGGACATCGTCTCCCTCCACTTCCGTCTGGAGATCGGCTGGGGCAAAGGCCAGGCCTGTGGTCCTCTGCTCCCAGCTGGCACTCCACCACCACCTCACCCCTTCTATAAATAGTGCACTGCACACTGGCTGCTGAGCTGAGGGAGCAAGAGTTTCCATGAGCTCAGCTTCCCAGAGTGGCCCTCCAGGTACCCAACACCCACACTTACCTCTCCCGAAGTCCTGTGGCCGGCTGGCCCCTGCAGGGGTCTCTCCCGGGGGCCGTGTCTCCGCCGGGCAGGGGGTGTGGGCACTGGGGCCGAGGCCTGAGGTGGGGCCTTCCCTGAGCTCTGGGCCCCTGGCTCTGGAGCTCCACTCGGGGAACGATCCGGCTTGCTGTTGGCAGTGGGCTCCCCTTTGGGCTTCGGAGGGGCAAATCTCTTCCTGTTGAAAGGCCTAGTTGTCTGGGGGGCCGAGGCGGTGGGCTGGGCGGGGGCAACAGCCCCCTTTTCACCTCCAGCCTCACTGGGTACCTTCCCAGGGGGCCTCTCTCCAGGTGCCCTGCCGCCTGGGGTCTGGGAGCCCTCTTCCCCCTTCGGCCTGCCCGCGAGGGTACTTTCCAGATACATGTCCTTTAGGGAGAAATACACTTGCTGGTCTGGGGCTGGGACGGGGCCTGGGCCGGGGGCCTCCCGGGCCGGCTCTTGAGCGCCCACAGCCGGAGCGGGCTTCCTGCTGCTCTCTGCTCCAGAGCACCCCGGGCCCCGCGCAGCCCTGCCTCCGCGCCGGGTCTGGGCCTGCTCCACGTCCGCAGGGCCCTGCGTCCCGGACTTGTCTGAACTAGGGGCGCGGCCTTCAGGAGAACTTGGGCTTCGAGCCGCCTTCTCGGACTCCGGCTTCTGGAGACCTTGCTTAGGTTCCTCGTCTTTCTTCTTCTTCTTGGCCCCAGACTCTGCTTTGGGGGCTCGCTGAGGCGCCAGCTCCATGGCCTCGCAGATGTACGTCAGCAGCGGGTGCTCGCCGTCCTCCCCATTCTCGGGGGCAGCCTCCCCGTTGGTGGTCACCTCTCCGGGAGCAAAGCTGTTGAGGAGGCCCAACGCTGGGCGCTGAGCGGGCGCCGCCTCTTCCTCCTGCCAAGCTGCTGGGGTCCCGTCCTCAGCCTCCCGGGCGGGGGCCGAGGGGAGGGACGCCTCGTCCCGGCTCAGCCGCCGTTTCCGCTGGAAGCGGTCGGGGCTGAGCTTGCGCAGAGTGTCGGCGTCTCCCACCACCTCCTTCCGGGGCTTCCAGCTCTGCTCGATCTCCCGCATCTTCGCGGCAGCCTTGATCTTCAGCTTGGCGAACCAGCGCTGGTGGATCTTGTACTCCGTCATGGTGCCGACCTCCAAGACCCCCGAGCAGGACACGATGCCCTTGGTGTTCCGGGCAGAGGCCTGGTAGATGGCCGCGTCTTCCTCTTGACACCTAAAGGGAGGGGCGCGAGATGCCCATTCTCCCCTCCCGCCTGGTAGGAGGCCCCCCGCCCCCCACTGCCCGTGTCTCCCAGAGCTGAGCATGCTGCCCCGCCCCCCCAAAGTCCTGCCCTGAGCACCCCACGCCACCCCGTCCAGCTCTCCCCATTGCAGTTGGGGAAACTGAGGCTGGCCACAGGGAGGCCAGGGAGGGAGCTGACCCAGGTCATGCTGTTCCAGAAGGGATTAGACATGGGGCCCAGGAGCACTCCCTTCAGAATCAGGTGACCCACACAGCCCCTTGTGAAGTAAGGACGACGCGGGAGCTTTTTTTGGTAGCTGACCTCATGGAAAATGTTTCTGTGGGGGTGGGACGCCTCTGGCTGGGCTTTAATCTCTGGCTGTCAGAAGTCCTCCCACCCTGGCCTTTGGAGATCCCAGACCCTGGCAGGCAGGCAGCTCGCCAGCAAGTTCAACTCAGCAGCAGAAACCCGCCCTGCACCCCTAGATCCCGCCTGGACATCAGCGTGCAGCCAAGCCCATCTCTAATGGGGCCACAGGCCCCCAGGAGCGCAGAGAGAGCAGGACAGGTCGGTGCCCCCACCTGTAAATGTGAAGCGTGTGGCGGTTGCCCTGGTGAGTGATCTCGTACTTCGGCAAACCACAGTAGCGGTCCAGCTCTATGTCATCCTTGTACCAGGTCACCTCTGGCTCTGGGTATCCTAAGAAGGAAACGGGGGACTGGGTTGCAGTTCCAAAACAGTGGAAGGAGAGCACAGGATGCCACAGGAGAGAATGGCTTCCCCAGACTACCTACCCCACTCGCAGGAAGAAAAGGGCTATCATTTGGCTCTGCTTATTCTTAGAAGCTAGCCCATGTCAAGGCTGAAAACTGTTCCCCTTCAGCAGCTGGAAGGCAAATATGGAGGAGAAACTTCCTAGCAGAGAAGCAAGATGTTTCCAGAGAGCCTTGGCTGGTAGTAACAAGCCCCCTTCCTTCAGTGTCCTGACCTACATTCTCAACTGTGGTAACAGCTGTATCCTCAAAGGTCTCCCCCAGTACCCCAACACCGAGAGCCCTCCTTCTTTTGTCCTAGGTTGCTGGAATGCTGGCCTCATTTGCTGACACACCTAGAACATCCATCCATCCGTCATCCATCATCCATCCACATTTCCCTACCCACTCATTCACTGCTGTGGCCCCTTCTCTCTGGGGACTTCCAGCCCTGGCCACAAGGATCACTTCCAACTGTTAGAGTCACCTGTCCTGCCTCCATCCCTACACGGCTGGTGGGTCCAGGAATGGACACCCAATCAGCTCACGGAGTCTGGTTATTTGACCTAGGTTTTGGCAATCAGGACCTGGAGGCAATCTAGCCTTGGGCCTGGAGCTAGAACTTCAGAGGGGTGCCGCCGAGTCCTCCACGAGAACTGGCCTACGGTGAAAAGCAAGAATGAAGGGGATATTGAGGGCAGAATACGAGATAGGAGACAGACAGATGCTCCCAACATCCTTCCATAGACTGGCTCCATTCCCTGCCTGGGCGCCGAGGACCTCCTGCCTATCAGTCCCACAAGAAGCCCCCAGCCTTACCAGTGAACTCTGCTTCATTCCTTAAGCCGACTCCCAAATGATTTACACTGTCCATCCGAATTCAAAGACCCTTAGCTCGCCTTCCCTCCAACATACATATTAGGCACGTGCTGAGACATGAAAGGGTTATTACACCTACAGAAGCCTGGCCGGCAGGTTGTCTGCTCTTGGAGAACCCACGGTACAGTAGGAAACCTAAGTCAGGGCACATCCGCTCTGCCTTCCCGCGTGGATGGGTCCGCGGCGCACACGCTTCTCCAAAGCTGTCCTCACTGGACCCCATCTCCTCTTGCCTCACCGAGGACATCTCTCCAACAATTTTTCCTGCTCTTGCCTGCATCAGCAAACCGTTCCCCTCTGTGACATCACCACTGGCACGCAAGCCTGCTGCATGAATTTTACAAGAACGTTCTCTGCACTCTGTCTTCCTCCCTCCCCTCCCATCAGGCTTGTGTGCGCACACAGCACCAGAATCGTGTCCGTGGAGGTCACTCCTGACTCGCACGTCGCCAAGTCTCCTGGCAATTCTCATCCCTCATCTGTTCAATCTGTTGGCGTCGATGCCCACTCCCTGGGACCTTCTCACTCCTTGGAGCATTCTTCCTGCATCATGGGCCACTCTTTCTAATTTCCTTCATCCATCCCCCTCACCACCAGAGCCTGTGAGTGGGAGGTGCCCCAGGGCTTGGGCCCCAGAACTGCTTCCTGCTCTCTCTCCATATAACCTGAGGTCTGAGGCTGACCGGTGGGCTTTAAAGATCTGTGTGCTCGTGACTTCCACGTTTGTACGTCCAGCCCAGACCTCCCCCCTGAACTCCTGGTTCCTGATTCTGACCTTGTGTCTGACACCACCCCTGCGAGGTCTGATAGGTCTGGGACTTACCATCCCCCGGGCCCAGCTCCTCCCACGCCCCTCCAGGACAGTTGCGGCATAGCTTGGTACCCGGTGACTTTATCCTTCTAAGTTGATTTGGGCCCCAAATCTGGAGGTATTCCTTTATTCCTTCCTTTTTCTCACGTCCGCGCCATCAGACAATCCTATGGGCCCTCCCTTCAGAATATATCCACAACCTGGTCTCTTCTCGCCACTCCCCACCACCAAGCAGTCCCCAGCCCCGTCTCACATGTCAGTCTCTGTAATTACCCCCCACTGACCTCACTGCTCCCGCTCTTGCTTCTGTTCAGCCCCCGTCTACACAGCAGCCAGAGTGAGCCTTTGCAAGTCAAGTCAGGTCGTGGCACTGCTCTGCTCTAAACACCCAGGAGCTCCCATTCCGCACAGGTTCTCCTGATTGGTGCCCCCCACCCCACTGCCTCGTCTCCCACCACTCTCCCACTCTGGGCCTTGCTCGCTGCTACCCGCCCCCCAACCCCAGCTACAGGGTCCGACTGGCTCGCCTCTAACACATGGTGCAAGCCACCCACCTTTATTCCCTCACTTTCTTTTTTTTTTTAATTATTTTTAAAAATTTTTTAAAGATTTTATTTATTTATTTGACAGAGAGTACAAGTAGGCAGAGCAGCAGGCAGAGGGAGAAGCAGACTCCCCGTTAAGCAGGGAGCCCGATGCGGGGCTCGATCCCAGGACCCTGGGATCATGACCGGAGCTGAAGGCAGCCACTTAACAGACTGAGCCACCCAGGGGTCCCTATTCCCTCATTTTCTGTCCTCACATTACCTTCTCAGAGGGGCCTTCTCTCCCTCCCTGCGTAAAACAGAAGCCTCTCCCCCCACGCCTCTGCCCCTCTCACTGTGTTTAGTGTGTAGAACCCACTGCCATTTGACACGTTACACACAGAGGACTTTGTTAGGTGGCGGACACCCTCGCCAACCCCCATGGGAACATCGGTTCGTGACTTATTTGTGTTAGTCACCGCTGTGTCCCCGGTTCCTAGAATAGTGCCTGGTCTGGAACCAACGCTCATTAAATATTTATAGACAAATACACTAAGTTCTCTGGGTGCCGAGAGGGGACCAAACAACTGTGGCTGGGATATCGGCAAGAGCTTTATGGTGTGAGTGGCACTGGAACTGGCCGTGAAGGGTGGGCGGAATTTCAGAAAATGTAAAGTTCGGTGTCTGCCCCTCCCCTTCACGGCAGGAGTCATGCCCCTGTGGTGACCTGTGTCCCTGTCTATGTCTTCTAGACCCACGTCCCACTTGCGCAGGAATTCTGTCTTCCCTGCTGTTGTGTCCCCAGCACCTAAGTCAGGGCCTGGCCCAGAGTGGTCACTTATAAAACGCTGATGGATGAGGGAGTAAAGGAGTGAGGAAGGGAGTGAGAGAGCAAACAAGCAGGAGACAGATGGGGCCGGCACGCCTGATGTAGGAACCGTAGCAGTAGCGTGTGGGGGTGGGAGGCAAAGGGCATGCCGGGGGACTGCGTCCAGGAGCAGGGAGCACAGGAGGGGAAGCTGTGCTGGAGTCAGCCAGGAACAAACTCTGGGCAGCCCTGACTGAAAAGCGAGCCCCATGTTTCCACTGTGAGCTAAAACCCCTGGTTACATCACCGAGTGGGGCCAAGGCCAGCACAGGTGTCCCCTCCATCCTGTGTGATGACCTCATCCCTCCAAGGGCCTGGCTCAGAGCCTCCCAGCCTCATGATCTGCCCAGTAGGGCCTTAATCTCCAGGGCATCTGAGTCCATCAAGCTGGGCCAGGGAAGGAGATATGGAACGGACCCCACCAGCCCAAGGCTGACTTCTCAGTCCCCATGATGTCCTCTGATGCCTCTTCACAAAATGGCGGCCAACCTGGCAGCTCGGGGCTCCATGGCAGTAGTGGGTTTTTAGAAACACATCTATTTGGACAGAAAACATTTCCTTGTGCCCTGGACGATATGAACTATATTCTAAAACACACAAAAAAACAGGAACGTTCCTTCCCTCCCAGCTACATACACACTCCTGCCCATGCATGTGTGTCCACAAGTGGGCGCGCGCACACGCACACACACACACGTTCGGCTCTGGCCAGGAGAGCCCACAGCGGTCCCACAGCCTGGGGCTTTCCCCATTCCCCCTCCCCCTTTCTGCCCCGAGACCTCTGATTCACAGGCGACAGGCCTAAGTCTCGAACCCAACCTGGAGACTTGCAGCCTTGTCCCGACCAATCCCAGTTTGAGAAGCTCAGGTGACAGAGATGATTAATGATGAAACCCATGTTGGAGTTCTCAAAGAGCTTTCGAACGGTCTGGCCCTCCTCACAATCCTGTGAGGATTCTTCACACTTACTAAGGATTCACTATGGGCCAGGTACCGAGCTGAACGTTTTTCTTGTATGATGTAATTATCACAAAAATCCTACAAGGAATATACTGTTATTAATCCCCAATTTAAGAAGAGGAATTCAGGACACCTGGGTGGCTCAGTCAGTTAAGCATCTGCCTTTGGCTCAGGCCATGATCCCAGGGTCCTGAGATCGAGCACCGTGTTGGGCTCCCTGCTCAGCCTGCTTCTCCCCCTCCCTCTGATGCTCCCCTTGCTTGAGTTTTCTCTCTCTCTCTCTCTCTGTCAAACAAATAAATTAAATCTTAAAAATAAAAAAATAAAGAAGAGGAATTTAAGGCCCATGAAATGAAGACTTCTGCCCAAAATCTTCTAGCTGATGATATGCGGAAGAACCAAATTCAAATCCCTCTTTTCTACAAAACAGGCAAGTCAGGGGTTTTAATCTGTGTTTCACACAAAAGAGAGACAGGGCTCTGGGAAGTAAAGTGACAGCCAGAGTCACAAGGCACCTGGCTTCCTTTTCCCTTTACTGATGCTCTTTCTGGTGAGGATTCTGGGACCAATATGTAGGTTTGTATTCCCAGCATTCATTCTATTAGACTCATTTCTCTAAGAAAGGTGTTTCTCTGGAACTTGGTTCTGTCTAAAGGCTCAGTCACTGTCCAGTGTCTTTGGCTGCTTCTGCCTCCTGCCTCAATGTCTATGCACACACACATGCACATGCACCAACACAGAATCCACAGAGTTGAGGAGAGTGGGGGAATGGGCCACCATGCTGGACAAAAATGGGCAACATCAGAGTAGCTTTCTGACCAAGGGAGCCCCTGGGGGAGACAGTCAGAAAGCAGAGTCAAGGTCTACCATCCCCCCCTCCAAGAGGGGAGAGACTCTGGGTTGTATAATCCTTCTCCAAGACCACAAGGACTTCTTCCAGAGCTCAGCCAGCAGGAGAAGGGGCAAAGACTCCTCTCCCTCATGCGGTCTAGGTTCTGACCCCCTCAGAAAGCATCACCTGCTGCTGGCAGGGGGCCCTGATGGGCCTGACTCATCACAGTCTAGTTTAAGGAAGGAATGCTACCAGCAGGGTGGGAGGAGGACGGACACAGGTGGTCATTTTATCTCCACGGACACAAGCTGGGATCACCACGTGAGTCTCCCGTGGAGGCCGATCTCAGCCAGAGACCGATCTACCATCTACTCCTCCGGATCAGGAGACTCAGCTCCTGTCTCCTTTGTTCTCTGCTTTTTCTGGATCCTGCTTCCCCCTCCCCCTTCCTTCCTCATACGGTCAACATTCTTGCCTTGCTAACTGGAAAAGGCTTATTGGCGGTGGACTATGGCGATCACAGAGACCTCCTCCTTAATCTACTGCATAAAACTCAAGTGACCTCAGATTTTTTTTATGTGTGGGGGGCAAGGAGTGGGGAGAAGGAAGTTAGGGACAACAGGGGACTAAGGTATGGATATTAGCAATACCTAGAGCTCTGGAAATCTTACAGCCCCAAATGGGAGTGCTAGAGACCTGGGCATGGCAGGTGCTCCTGAGCAGAAAGAAGACCGTGGCCTTGGTTGGTCATCATGAGACATGGATGTTATCTCAACGGAGGGGATAAAGGTTTGCTCCTTTGGGTTGGGCTTAAAACAGGGGCAAGCTTCATAATGACAATGGGGGGTATTGAATAAAATGCCCGAAGATTCTGGAAATCAGACTCCTGTCTGGCTTCTCCAACATCCCTCTCAGAGTCCATGGCTACGAAGGGTAGAAAGGAAGAGGGAAAGAAGAGAGACCAGTCCCCGATGCCTGCCCCTCTCAGGCGGCCCAAGTCCCCAGCAGCAGCTGCGACCGAGAGGAACAGGCATTCGGCCAACAGGTACTGAGCGCCTTCTTTGTGCTTTTTCCAGAAAGGCAGCGTGTGCCTGGTTTGCACTCTATCCTCGCAGATCTCACAGTTTTCCTGGAGGAGCAGAGAAACAGATACAGCAAGAGATTTCCATGGCAGTGCTAGAGATGGATGATGTCCTAGAGGATAAGCCATGTGGTCTGGGCTTTGAAAGATGAGAAGGAATTTTCCAGCAAAGGAGTAGGCTTCAAGGTAAAAAGACAGAATGAGCATATCACCTGTTTTCACTCTCTCCACTATGAGTACTCTAACGAGATTTTTAAATTAAAAGACATAAAACCACAGGGGAGATGAAAACAGATGAGGCAAGCAACAGGAGGAACAACAGTCTGGAAGTCAAAGCAGATGGACAGTGAACACAGGCTCTACAGAGCCTGGACAGCTGAACCCTAACGTAGCAATGGGGGAACAGAGAGCTACACTTTGAGCACTGGAAAAGCCCCTGAAAGGCATAACTGCAAGCAATCACTTGGGGGAAAGGGAAAGGAGGAGAGGTTATAAGGTGCATGAAAAACCATCAAATCTCTGGATCCCCTCACCCCCTCCATACCCCTAGGTAACTACTTCTTCCCGCCCCCATGGCCAAAGGTGAGGATGATTATCTGGAAAGGTAGACGTTTACCCCGAGGGTAAGCCAGCACAGCTGAGAGCACGGCTACTCTGTGGGAAACGAAAATGGAGTAATTGTATGCATAAAATAAATGCTCTCTAATGAGAGCCCACTCAACCCTACGATCTGCATAGCTCCTGGAAAATCTCTACCCGTCCCCCAGGCAAGACATGGAAAGAGTATTCACTAGGGATGCTAGCTAGCCCAAGATGAAGGGATTAAAGAAACTTGCTTTCTCAGTTCCCACAGTGGCTGCCAGATCTCCCTACAAGGAAGCCCCAGGTTTTCAGGACCCTCCTGCTTCCTCAGAACCAACAACCAGATTTTTGGTCTCCACTCTTAACCATTATCTGACAGCTAAGGATCGCTAGGTGTCTGAAGACAGCCTATACATAGAAGACTAAGGATGAAAACAAATTAAAAAAAAAATAGCAAATTGGAAGGAACTCAAGCTATGCAGGGAGAAGGAAACTTTTAGAACTACCATTACTAGTGTCAGAGAGCTAAGAGAAGATGGTACATTCATGAAGAACAGGATGCCACAGGGGGAAAAAAATTAAGAAGGTCTTAGAAATTAAAAGCCCCACGGAAGAGTGGAAAGAGAACACTGAGGAAATCTCCCAGAAAGAGAGCAAAAAGACTTATAGATAAAAGGGGAAATGTATACACTTATAACTAAATGTATACACTAGTAGCTAAAAGGGGAAGACGGTTGTTTCCGGGAAGACAAACTGGTGGGAGGAGTGAACGCCTTTGATACACGCCTGCTAGTATAATTTGAAGATGCACATTATGTGCATGTATGCATTTGATTACATAAAAATTAATTTCCTTTAAAAAGAAGGATTAAGGACCTTCGATATAGGGAAAATAGCAGATGTAAAAGCATAAATTTGTGAAAGAGCCAGGTTTGTCCAGAAAACCGTTAGCGCCACAGTCACAAAGCGGGCATAAGCAAGCAGCCTCAAATGCTACAGAGAGCAGAACTAGCATTTCCTCCTCACCAACTTCGCGGACTTTGGCAAGTCACCTAACCTATTTTGGGTTCTCCGTAAAACTGGACTAACAATAGCACTTACTTCACCAGGTTTTGTAAGAATCCAGTGACAATGGAAACAGATGAATATTGCAAAATGGGTCATGCCACGCAAATGTAAGGGATGTTGGCAGAGGTCTGAGTCCCCTGGAACAGACAGGGTTCTCAGCCTGGAGCTCAGAGGCTTCTGGGTCAGGGTGAGAACTGCCTGGGGGCACCCAGTCCCGGAGAAGCTGTTTAGATGGCTGGGGCAGACAGGTCCCCCAGAATCAGGGCATGTCACACCTGGAAACCACCAATGCCTTTAATTTACTGGGGAAGGGGGGGGGCTCTCAGAGGGAAGCTTAACCTGGGCCCCTTGGTCTGATGGCTGCACGGCTGGGAGGGGCAGACCTGCAGGCCCACAGACAGGTCAGGCTGGTGTGACGGGAGGTCTGGAGGGGAGGCCATGCTCAGGGCCAGCTTTCCAGTACACCCACCCCACCCTTCTCCCTTCCCAAGGACCATCACTCTGCCTCCGGTACTGCCAAATCCGGCCGTGGAGCTCAGGGAAAAGTGAGTAATAGTAATCTTCATCTCTAGCACTTACATGGTACTCACTGTACACCAGGCACTATTCCAAATGCTTTGCAGGTTTGAAGCAATCGGTCTCACAATAATCCTATAAGGTTCCTACTATTATCAACCCCACTTTACAGACGAGGCACTGCAAGGTCGTGCAAGGTTCTGCAACCTCTTCTGTATCACATAACTGGGAAGGGGATGGATCCGCCTTCCAGCCGGGCGGTCTACAGCCGGAAGCACGAGACATCACTGTCTCCCAGGCTTGACACTCCCAAGCCTCAACACCCTCAACTCTAAAATGGGGATATTTGGGAAAATGACCTCAAAAACCTTTTTCAGCTGGAGAGCTTCTTCCCTTGCAACTAAGATTCATTAGTTGTCAATGTTTGCCCGAGGGTTAAGAACCTTTACTGAAGATAGGTTTTGAAGAAGAGTGGGGCGTGTATGTGGCTCCAGAATGGGAGGAGAAAGGGACCCCAGCCCACCCAGGGAGATTCAGCTGGAGAGAAAGCTAAGGAAACGAATATGAACTTGTCCAGTTTTGTGCAAAGAGCCAACCCCTTCTGTGCCTGGACCCATAGCCCCCCGGGACCCTTCTGTGTGCAGTGACCCTGGTGTGGACCATACAGAGGGCTTCATTACCTGTGACGATGCAGGTGAACTTGGCATCACTGTCCTGGGACACAGCCCGGGACTTGAGTGTGGTCTCGAATAGCGGCTGGGTCTCCTCTGTTAGCTGAGCAATGATGGAGCAGAAGGTGCTCCTAGGAGAGGCAAAGAACTTTTCAGAGTGGTCTTCCCCCCACACCCCGCCAAGATATCTGGTATCGCCCAGTTCAGACTGGTGTTGTCCAAAGCAACTTCAATCTTACCATATCCATCCATCATCCCGTGGCCATGGCTCCAGTACCTGAGCAAGTCTTTCTTCAAGGGAGCCAGATGTCCTGGCCAGGCGGGTGGCAGGGATGGAACCGAGGGGCTGGATGGAATCCTGATCCAGACCCATTCCAATAGGCAGGCTTCTGACCATGGGCCAGGCTCCTAAGCATGCTGAACCACCAGCCGGTGTCCCCTTCCCATCCTTGTCAGAGGGCCTTGCTTTACCCTCTACCGTTTATCTCCAGGAAAGCTCGTGCATGGGGGTGGCACACATTTGGACAGGCCCAGCCTCGGAGATGAAGACCCCAGCACAGCAGGGCTTCCATCCATGCCAAAGAGGGAAAGCCAGTCAACCCTCAAGGAGACACAGTTCAGGGGCCTCTCCAAATGTTTGGGCTCAGAAGAAATGCCCCCGAATGTCCGAATGTATGAGCATAGGTCATAATAAACAACGAATAAGCCAGCCAATGCCCGGGGTCCAGATCCAAGGGTAGGCTCTCATTCATTGGGGTGTCAGGAAAGAGAGTCTGCTCTTGGACCCTCTCTGGACGCCACATGCTCGCGTGGATACATGGCTGAGACCAGCCAGTGGGACTGCCAAACCATAAACAGACCCACCCCTGCAAAAGCCAGGACTTTGAGTTCCAGGGTGATGGTCTGCCTCCCCAAATTCAAGGGCATTTGCAGGCTCATGGGAGTCCAGCGCGGACTCACCGACACTGCTAACCACATCAGGTCCCCTCCTTCCCAGGCACGGGAAGCAAACCACCATGCCAAACCCTCTCACGGACCAGCAGAGACACAATGCGTCCCTAGGCGTGAAGCGTTAACCACACAGCCAGGTCGTCTGGTGCCTAAGCCGTGCCCAGCCCTCCCTACCCCCCCAACTCAGACAGCCCATTGTGAGCAGCAGTGAGGACTGTGAGGGGAGAAGTGACCAGAAGCAGGAGGGTCTGCCTTTCTCTGTGCCTCGGAGGAGGGGCGGTCACCCAGGCAATGCGTGTCTGCTCGAGCCCCTTCCACCAGGGGCAGTGGGGTCTGTGGGAATGCTGCACCAAGGGGCTATGACCCTGTGCTTTGTGGGGAGAAGCCTCCACACTCAACTCCTCATTTCTGTGGCTGTCATTCTGGACTTGAGTTTGAGGAGAAAAGTTCTAGCCCAGGAAACACATCTTGAAGCAGTGAGACTTCTGGACCAACAAGCGCTCCAGTCGTGACATCTCCACGGGAATGCAGATGCCTGGGCCTCCAGGGAGTTGACAGGAGCCCTCCCCAACAAAGACTACCCAGAAAGGGGACCCTAACTCTTCACACCCCTGAACGCTTGACCTGGGCCCGAAGTCCGGCTTCTAGGACACTCCTTGGGATGCCCTTATCTAGAACTCCTCTCTCATACGCAACTTTTCCTTCTCCTCTAACCCATCCAGGAATTCAACTCCCGGACACTCAGGAACAGAACATCTGAAAACGTTTCTTGCTGCTCTCACACTAAGACAAATTTCTGACTTCGGGGCATACCAAATCCCAACCAACAGCTGCCCGAGGAAACTGCTGTGCCCAGAGGAATTGGACTTCCATGATGTCGCAGCTAATTCAAAACATCCCTCATTCTGTCCCCCCTCCAGAACCTGAATCCTATCTTTCTTGTGAACATGAGCCTGGATCTAATACCAGCTTAGCCTCAAGGGATGGAGCTGCTTGGACGAGTCTAAGGAAATAAGCTACCGGAAATGGGCTACCGTGAGAAAACAGGGAAAGTCTGCTTCGAGGAAATTTGCGGAGGCAGTGCTTGTGCTAAATATTCAGCAGCAAGTAGTTATTTTGTGTCCGTACTGATTTTGAACAGGAAAGAACACTCATCTTCTCAAACTTCCCACACTAGGTTCTAAGCTACATTATAGAAAATGTTTGTGTGGAAAAATCACACGTTAACTGTTCAAAGGCATGGCTAGCCGAAAGCCCTTTGGGAGGTAAGTGTGGGATGCATTCGGGGAGACAGGGGAGTCCTTGCATAAGCTGTCCATTGAATGTCACCTGCTTTCTGTCCCCTTCCTCTGGACCACTCTGCCGGACTCCGGATGCGCTGCTTCCAGGGTCCTGGAGAGCCAGAAGTCCACACATCTGGCAATGGTCTGGTCCCACCCTGACACCTCCAAGTTGGAAAGACTTGTGACTTCATAAGGAGATCATAGCCTAATCGTGTGTTTCTAAGGAACACCAGCATCACTGGCTTTCGTGGTGTTCGGAGGAACCTAATGCTGCCTTTACGTTGCTTCTTTACCTTGCTTTAACTTCTAAGGTCCTTTCTCTTTTAGCACTTAGCACTCCCCTTAGAATTTGGCCGTGATGCCCTCTCTTCCACCCACCCAGACCCTGAACCAACCCAGAACAAAGGTTCCACAAGGCTCTCCTACAGCAGAGGATACGTGCATGGTAGGTCCTAAGCGTGTCTGTAGACATTATTAGCTAGTTGGGGACCATCTGGCTCTGCAGGAATCTTTCTCTGTGTACAGAAAGTGTAGGCACCTCTCCCCAAATCTACCACAGTCTGGGATGAGGCCCAACTGGTGGGAGAGAGCCAGGAAATGTTCCCACTTTATGAAAGTCAGCTCAGCCAGTGGTAAAAAGCTGTCCCCAGCTCGGGAGGAGAGGACAAGGCATTCTGTGGGTGAACCCCGACTGTGGGCCCACTTGGGTCCTGCCCTGCTTCTGCGGTGGGTTCTGGGAATAAGCAAAAGTGGTAATACACTAACATGGTATTCCCTGCCCTCAAAGAGTGCATGGTCCTGCAGGGGTGGACAGAGCCAAAGGAGAGGGGAATTAGAGAAAGAGGTGGTAGAAGAACTTAAGGGACTCAGGAGGAAACAATTTAAGGCAGGAACCATGGTCAGAAGATCGGCAATAAGGTGTGCAACCTAAACGTGGCATGACAAACACGGTGGGGACCTTGGATTGGGAAGTGGGCCCCATGCCTGGTGGCTTGCTGTCCGGGCCCCGTGGTGCCTCTCCCAGGGGCACAGAGACATAGCAGCAGGCACCTCCGGAAGCCTTGCCTATTTCTGGGTCCCCAGATGCCTTTCAGTGGCCCATGCAGGCATCATCTCTGGCCCCCGTGGGACCCTTCCGTGCTCACAAGAGTGCCCTCTCACACTCCCCACCCACCGCCCTCCAGCCCTCCCCTCGCCCCATGCAGCCTCCCCCGATAGTGCACAGGCTGTCTCCCAGAGGCCCTTCAACGCCCAGACCCAAGAAAAAGAAGCAGTCAGAGAAATGTAATGCAATGTGCGTTTACCTTCCAGAGCTGGGGTGAGACAACCGGTTGCTTGATAAGCTAAGCGAAAACAGCAAATGGAATCATTAGGCCAAAAAAGCAAGGAAAGGAGGCGACACCAACAACATTCTGCGGAGTATTAATTGGCCACCATCTGGGGCCCAGAGGCCTTTCTATTAAAAGGGACCAGCTGTCTTAGTTGGCCTGCTCTGGTTAGCAAGTGGCCTCATCCCCAGACACCAGTGTATCTGAAACCAAGAGCTCATTAAATGCAGCCGAGTCCAGGGGGATGGTTAGGCAGGAAGGAGGCCCCTTGGGGCTGCGCTTTGAGAAAAATGCGTGCCAGGCACTTGGGTCACTGGCTCCCAGAGAGGGGCTCAGGGCTGCCTGGCATGCTTCCACACCCCGCAGCCCACCAGCCTTGGGGGACAGCTCCTGCTTCAACCCTCGGCCTTTGGGGGAGAAGAGCCCCCATTCCTAGAAGGAGACAGGTGGCTTGGAAGAACACCCATTAATAGGTTAAAGTATGGTTAAAGGGGCCACACAAGGCAAACCAGCTGGAAGAGAAAAGAAGAGGAGAAAGACAAAGCAGTTAATTCAGCGGGAACCAGGAGGCACCCAGCTCCATCAGACCAGCACACGGCCCATGATGATGCCCACAGGCCCTGATCAGCCCTCCTATCCCGGGGCAGCTCAAAGTGGACACTGGCCGGGGGTACATCGGCCACTGGGGGCAGAGGACCCACACAGGGACACCACCCCACCTGCCTCTCCCTTCACCTTTCCTAATATGATTGCCTCTGGGAGAGTCTAGGGCCACTGTCCCATGGCCCTTTGGGAGACCTTGGGGCCATTCCCCCCACACTGGTTCCCTTCAGCTGTCCCTACATCTGCATCTCCAACTACAGCATGTTCCACTGACAGCCTGTCCCTTTATAACCAAAACCCAGAACTCCTCCTCTGCCCCCAAACACGGCTTCCCCTCCAGGGCTCCTGGGTTTGTGGCCACCTCCAGAATCCTCCCAAACTCCCAACTGTAAATCTGCCGTTTGGACTCCTCCCTCTCCTCCAGCTCCCAAGTGTAGCTGGTCAACAATCCTTGCCCTTCTTTCTCCCTTTCTCGCTACTCCTGCTGTATCCTGGTCTAGACACCCCCATAGCTCCATTTCTGAGGACCACCTTGGCCCCCTTCTCCTTCACCCCCCATATCACACCACTTCCCTGAAAAAGATGTGACAATCCCCCCGTTGAGTCTCAACTCCCTAATTGGGCAATCGGCTCACACCCCCATGACCGCTATGGTTCTCTACTTCCTAACACCCATGTTCCACTGGAACCAGACCTGTCCCTAACTGCCATGGACATGTCCACTGCTGGCCTCTGAGCCCATACTTCCATTCTCCCTGCTTGGAAAGCCCTCCCTCCTTCTGTCTGCTCAGCTAAACCCTGTCTGCCCTGCCTTCAGACCGAGCTCTTTTTGTAGGTTTCCTGCTCCCAGCACAGTGCTCAGCAGACAGCAGGCATTCAACAGCTGTTTTTGTGGAAGGGAGAGAGAGAGAGAAAGAAAGAAGGAAGAGAGAGGGTATGCACGAGCATCTTTCAAACAGGAAGGGTGCTGCCCCCCAGAGGGAGCCGCTGCTCCAGAGAAGATGGGAAGAGCAAGGACGCAGCTGCCTTTGCTCAGAGCTTTAAAAATCCTCTGGAGGCTGCGTGGGCAGAACCTCCCATGGTTCCAAGACACTGGCCAACTCCATCCTTTCCTGACCATGAACTTCCTTTGCCTTTCTCCTCGTAATTGAGAGATTTCTCCTCTGTTGGGTCTGGATTTCTTCCCTGGGAAGGAGAGGGAGAGAATCAGCTCTCTAATTCTGAGAGGAAAATGAAAGGTGCCACCTGCAAGCAGATTAAGACCCTGCGCTGGACTGAGACCCCACCCTGGCTCTCTCTAGAGCTTCTCCTGCCGCTCTGTCCCATCCTGCTTTCTCTAGGCTTCGCCCTTCCGCTGTTAGCCGGGTCAGGAGGGGTCCTGTGCCACGGGGGCACCTTATCTTCAGCGGGTGGGAGCTCTGCATATGTCCTGTCGACGGGGCCCAAGCTAGGCTCAGGGCTTCACCCAAGCAGGAAGGTCTCCTTTTACTGACCGTGAGGGGGTCAGAATCTGAGGGCATCAAACGTTGGTGCAAAAAGTCCTAATGAGTTCTTAATGCCACCTTCATTGTATAGAATGGCGATGCAGGACCCAGGAAGGAAGGCTCTCTTGGTAAAGCAAGAACGTGAGCCTGGAGGGAGCCAGGACTGGCTATGGAAACCAGGGTCTCCCATTCATCCTGGCTTTTACATATTCTGGGACATAAAAGGCTCTTGGAAAGTCCTAGCCTGATGACTCAGTTTCCCCAAAAGCCTAAGCCCTCTTGCGTGACCCAAGTAGAACAGAAGAGGTCTTCCAAAGCTGTCTGTAGTGAACATATATAGGTTCTAGGGCTCTTCTGAGCCCAGGTGGGCCAGGCTCTCCAAGAAATGAGGGGGCAGGGGTTTCTGAAACTTCTGAGTGTCTCTCCACCTGAATATAGCTCCTTACCTTGCTCTAGTCCCCCATGCCCCACCTTCCTAGAGGGATGAGGTCCTAGAGGGCAGATGTCCTACAAAGCTGGACCTACAGGGATACAGGAACTACCTGTATGGTGGACCTCTGACCCCAGTGGGCACTGGAAATATCCTTGAGCTGACTACAGTCTGGAAACCAGCTCAGGGCTGTGGGGTTAACTGAGGGGAGATAGGCACAGAGAGCCAGGTTCTAGACCTGGGCCAAGGCTTCTGGTGGCCCAGCCCCCAGCCCAGCTGTCCATCAGCTCCCAGAGGCAGCCCATCCTCACTAGGCCCCTGAGAATGATGCCTCGTGAGCTCCAGGCAGAATAGGGAAGGCAGTAGATCTGGACATAGACCCAGAAAATGTTGGAGCCAAGAGTGCGTAGAAAAGAACTTGCCTCTCCATCAGGACTCTGGGATAGTCAGGGTTCATCTGGGGGCTAGAGCCAAGGACAGCTGGCCAAGTCCTCAAGGGACCCTCTTTCTCCTTCATCTCTTGGACCCTCTTCCTGTCCCCAAAGGCAGTCAGGCCGTTGCGAGGGACAGAAGACTGCAGGGTTGCCCGCTCTAACGTGAGAGTCAGGCCTTGCTGGGGAACTGGGAATCGCTCCCCCCACCCCAACACAGCCATTCACAGTCCCATTCTCCCCTCTTTGGCCAGAGGCTTTTCCAGAGATGAGATAAATCTGGCCTTCCTTGTCCCTGAGGACCTGTGGGGGTCCAGAGCCAGCCAGCAGGGGCAAAACAGAGCCCTCTCTCCCACTGCCCCAGCCCAGCCTCCTCCAAACGCCTGATGAAAAGACTGTCCTTTTAAGAGCTTTCATATTTAGGTGCAAGGGGACTTGGACCAGCCACTTCCATCCTGCCTGCAGTGCTCAGGCTGGGACACTGCCTTGTGCTCATCAGGTAGGCAATTAAAAATCATCTACCATATGTCCGCTCAGTGAGGTAGCTGTCCTCTCGCCCGCTTTTCCTCTGCCAGTCCAGATCCACTGCCTTCCCTATTCTGCCTGGTTTTCAAGCCACCCCTCCCTCCATCACTGCTTCTCTTCTGTTTGTTCTCCTGGTGTTGACAGAGGCCAGACGCTAGAGGCAAAGCCCAGGCGAGTGGCCGAGTCAAGTCGCCGTGACAAGTGTGAGACAAGTGTGAGGCTCCCACAAGGCACTCAGCTTCGCCACAGATGGGAACAAATGCCCAAGGTTCACTCCAGTTTTTCCATAGAGCCAATGGTTCGGAGGAAGGGGCATTCTTTCCTGGCAGCCAGGGGCCTCGTCCAGTCTGACTCAGTCACTAACACCAGCCCTCAGCCCTGCCCCAGACATGTGACACCATTTGACGAGTTTTATGCAGAAACCGGTTCCGGTTACATTTGAACTTTTCCAACTCCAAGGTCAACAGAACTCAGCCAATTCACGAGGAAGTGCCTGGGACTTTTCCTGAATGTCCTTGATGTCTGTTTTTGTGCTGTTTTAGGAACGGAGGACAAGAGGTTCCCAGACAGCTTCTCAGATGAGTGGCTGTTTTCTGCATAAGCTACAAGCCAAGCTCTGGGGCTGGGACACAACCACTGTCCCAACAGCCAACCATCACAATTCCCTTCGGAAAACGGGCTCCAGTGTTGGAGGGAAACTGAGCTGCCCAGAGGCGGGCAGGAAATGTCCATCTCCGTGGCAGGGCACGTGTCCCTGGGTGTCTGGGTGCCTCTGAGTGCCTGTAGGCCTCTCTGTTGACTGTGTGTCTATCTGTGAGTAGTCTAGCTCCTAAAACAAAGAAACCCCACCCCTAATTCTTGGCGGAGTGTACAGACAGGGCTCATGAGCTGGAGCCCTCCCTTGGCATCCCACTCCCACAAACCGGCAGGTTGCTTGGCTCCCTCGGAACCACAAGCTCTGATTCTCCAGACAGGGCCAGCCAGCACCTCCTCCCACCCCTGTACCTGCCCAGCCACCCGAAGATCCTGGGGGAAGACCCAGCCCTGGGCTACCAGGAACATCTTATTTGCCCAGAAATAAGAACTTATTTCTTCCTGGCGAACCCCACCCCCGCACCCCCCTGAGCTAAGCAGCCCTCACTCAGGGTGGTCCTCCCCTCCCACCCCCCACACCATGCTACTCCCCAACTCCCCCCTCCCACTAGGCCCCTACCATGTGAATGCTCCCCGCCTCCCTTCCAGCCAGGGAGGAATTTCACCACTGCCTTTCCTTATCGCTCACTGTGGAATCCGAGGCCAGGGAGTGGCTGAGTATGGGGTGAGGGTGCCGAGGGGACGAGGGGGTACGGAAGCCAGGTAGGGGGTAAGGCAGGACTTCGGGGGCCCTTGTGAAATCGCCCCCAGAGTACCGCCCGTCTCCGCTCTCGAGCCTCCCGTTGCCAGAGGCCCGAGGCCCCGAAGGCCCCGAGGGGTCAAAGGCCCGGAGGGCCACCGCGCCCTGGCCACCGCCTCAGGTCGCAGCACCTCCCCCACCCTCCCCAGGAGGAGGGCGTCGCCTCGGCCTCCGCCCACCGCCCCCAGCCCGGCCCCGGGGAGCGCGCCACGCACCTGTTCTCGGGCCTCACGCTGAGCAGGTAGCTGCGGCTGGCCGGGCTGGGGATCCACACCGGCCCGTCGTCCTCGCCGTCGCCCCCCGCCCCGGACCGCCCGCCCGAGCCCCAGCCGCGCCCGGGGACCCTGCGCGACCCCATCCCGCCGCCGGCCGCGCTCCCCAGGCCACGCTCCCCAGGCCCCTGCCCTGCCGGCCGCCGCTCCCGCCCGCGGCTGACGCGCGCCCCTATTTATAGCCCCGCGGACCGGCCGTCGTCACCTGCTGCTGTCCCTCCCCCAGCCCGGCCGAGGAGCGCGGCCTCCAGAGGCGCGGGGAGCGGTGGGGGTGGGGGCGCCGGGCCTTGCCCGAGGCGGGGACCCCGCAGCGCTGGCCCGACGCGCCCCGGAGCCTCCCGGGCGTCGGGGCCAGAGCCTCGGAAGGCCTCCCGCTGTGCCCCGAATTCCAGGCCCCAGGACCCGGGCTTCCTGCCAAGCTTCCTTCCCGGGCTCCCGGCGCCCCTTCGCCGCTGGGGAAGCGCGGGCCCCGCGGCCTTCGAGCAGCAGAAGGTGCAGAAGGCCCCGGGAGCTGGTGGAGCCGGCCGGGCGAAGGCTCAGGGACATGGAGACGCCTGGAGCCTGGACTCCACGCGGTTGGCGCCGAGGGAGCCGGCCACCGGGCCCCTGCTTCCAGGTGGCAGCCTCCGCTAACCCTCGCCTTGCCAGTGACTGTTGGTGGACGACTTAGACGAGCCCACACATCTCCATGGAGCCCCTCTGGATGCGTCTTGGGTTCCCTTTCCATTATCTAGCATAGATGAAGGGCTCAGAAAACACTTCTAGAATAATCGGACCTCCTACTCCACACAGCCTCCATTTCTGGGCACCTTGGCGGGAAATGGCAGAGTCCTAATGCCCAGAAAACTATGCAACCATGCACCGATTTCCAAGAGTAAGAATGTAAGCCCTGACTCATCCTGGTTCTGAATACTGGGAGTGATCAGTATTTATCCATTCTTTTTTTTCTCCTTTATCCTTGGAAGCATCCAGAAAGTGCGTGGAGCTGGGTGGCTATGGTCATTAGGAAGTTAGAGCTAAGGAGTACCAACCACCCTTCTGTCCCAGAAGTTGCACGCATGTACATTCCCCCTTGTTTTGGAAATGGCTCTTCCCTCCCTCTCCCGGTGTGGTCCCACCCGCAACCGCCTCACTCCTACACGACCCCATCCCTGGCCTCTGTTGGCTGGCAGCTGACTCACGCCAGGCTCACTGTGGTACCCGGCTCCCTGACCACAGAGGTAAGCATCACCCCCAAGCTGTGCTAGTGGGAGTCCTTCACCAAGAAGTTTTTTAACTGGAACTGGAGGAGAAAAACGGCCTCTCTGTGCTGGAAAGCGGTGAGCTGTGAGGTCTCAGCTCTCAGCAGCCATGCTTCCTGCCTGGTGGAGGAGACCAGTCTGCAGGGAGGAAGAAGGAAGCTGACCACAAGAGGAGCAAAAGGAGGGGGCTCAGAGTCCTGATGGCTTCGGGTCCATCTCCGCAGGCGTTCCTGAAATCCGGCTTTATCCCTGACCTTCTTGTAGGTCGGTGTCTGACCAGTTCGTCAAATCTGTGTACCAAAAAAGTTCTCTTTGCTCAAGCTGCTTCAAAGCAGGCTTCTGTTGGGAGAATGGGAGTCTTGACCGATAAGAAGACAGTTTCTCCCAGGAAGCCCAAATCCGCCTCCTGACCACGTGCCTCCATTTCCCCTGTTGTTGGCTTTCTGGAGGTGCATGTGTTAAAGCACCTCAGTCATCCACATCCAAATCCTTGAAAGCAAGCTTGAAGTTTTGGTGCATTTAAGTTGTATGAACACCCCTGAATCGTGCTAGGGCAGTGTGCTACAGGTAGGAGTCACGGGATCTGTGCTTTCAAGAAACTTTCGTCCAACAGGAAAAACAGGCATATAAATAAAATACAGCAAAGATGAAATGTGTAATTTTAGAACTGTATGTAACGAAGCATGAACGTATAGAGAGAAGAGTGGGTTGCTCGGGGTTTGGGTTCGGACAGTTCACAAGGCAGTAAACTTGAGAAAGATTTTGAAAATTACACAGGAGCTCACCAAGTAGACTGTTGGGGCAGAGGGGGAGAGGACAGACAGAATATTCCAGATGGAGGGAAACAGAGTGGGCAAAGGCATGGAGATACAGAATAGCCTGGTGGGCATGTTGTTCAAATGTGAAGGAGGCGGGGAAATGGACAATTTAGGCCAGATCCAGAAGATCTTTTCTGCTCCACCAGGAAGCTAGACCTCCTTTGAGGCCACCTCTCCCTAGGACCACAGATTTGGTATCACTAGTCACGCAAATGACCCTTTAATTTATGAATTTCCTTTTCAAAAAGTGACCCACACAGAGGTCACCCCACAGCAGCCTACATGTGAATTAACACCTCCCTGGGTTTGGGCCCCGCTAGCTAGCAACAGTGTTTTCGCAGCCAAATCGTTTCATCAGTTCCGAACCTGTGCCTGCTCAGCACAAACTACAGTTCACCTAAGTCTTCCCTACTCCTGGTTGTAAAGTCTTTTTTTAATCCCAAGTGCAAACTTGTACCTTTTTTTAGTTAAAGCTCATCTTCTTAATCTCCCACTCCCTTTCCTTCTTGTCTAAACCTTTGTAATTTCTGCTCCTGTCATCTAGTGTATGATCTATCCTTCCAGCTTCTCGTTGTGTGCTGACTTAATGAGCAGACTTTCAGGAGGATAGGGGCAGAGCTGAGTAAGGAGTGCCAAGGCACTCAGGGATGGAGAGGTCAGAAAGGCACAATCTCTTTCCTCTCTAAGCTTTCAGTCTAGCAGGAAGACAGAGGACATGTTGAGTGGTGTCAAGTCCTGGGCTGGGAGTCTAGACACTTGGGTTCTCATTCTCCTCCCCACTGAGTGTGACCTTGGGCAGATGGCTCCCCATCCCCAAGTTTTAGCTTTCTCCTTTGGAAAGAGGAATGAGGCATTCCCTTTATGACCCTGTAGGTCGTGGCTGTTCCTTCAGCACATATTTGTTAAGTAATTGCTAACGACTCCGTGCCGGGCATTATGCCAGGTGCTGAGGGTAGAGAAATGAAGGTGATCGTCTGTACCTCTCCAGCCTGAAAGAAAGACAGCCTCGGAGAGAAGTTCATGCCAGCTGCTGGGAGAGTATGGAGAAGCTCATGCTATTCTGCATTTGGCAATAACCATCGTCCACGTTTTGCTGTCAGATACGCGAACTGATGAAGCACTGTAGGAATTTCTTACTGGTGCCAGGACCCCCTCTCCTGGTTGTTTTGAACTTCCCAGGGCCCTGCAGTAATTGGGCGCTTGTGGTAGGAAAGTCTTGGGCTACTGTTCATTAACATGTGTCGCTCAGCTGGAGAAGCTGGTCCCTGTCTAGGCACGGCTGTGGCTCCTGGGACACCTGCCCCCCCCCCCCCTGAGCCCCTCTCATCGCGGTCTACGTGAGGGCCAACACGCCTCCTGTTCCAGCTTCATTCCATCTCTTCCCCTTCTGCTCTCCTTTGAAGCAGACGTCACCCAACATTTACGAGCTGCCAGGACACCATTCCACGTGCCTCACCGTCCTCCGCCTGAACTTACTGAGTTCAGGCCACTGCACAGTGAGCGCCACTGTGTACCAGGCTCTGGGCCCCTGCCTTCATCCCTGCCTTTCTAATAACTCAGCCAACGCACTGGCAGTAGGCCCGCTGACCTCAGCCTCTCGAAGACCTTCACCCCCACTTCCCTTTAGCACCCCAATCAAATGCCCATCACTTGAACCTCAGCAGAGGAATTTCTCCGCCTCTAAAATGCCATTTTGTTATCCTTCCCCCTACTCAGCCTGCCGTCTGCTTTAAGGCAACTCCAGACCCCTAACTTGCCCTCTCATGAGTTTCTCCTTGGCTCCTTTACCCACTGCTCCCCCATCCCTGTCTGAACACAGGCACAGTGTAGGGAGGACAATGACTCTGTCGACAACTGTACTCTCCTCAGAGGTCTCATCTCCCTGGGCCCCTGACCTTCTACTAAATTTGCCTTGTCAGTCCCTAACCTGGAATCTGGCTGTGGCTTCTAGCAACAAGGCTGGTTAACTCTGGTTTCTAACCTCAGTCTGGTCTCAGGCAGCTTGGCAATCCTTTCCCAGTTCCCTAGGCTGACCTTTTCTTTCCCTAGAGCAACGGCTCCAAACAAGATTCCAATGTCCCCTTTGCCCTCCTGACTTGCAGTGGCCAACAGTTCCTTCAAAATATAGGGGAAGGTGAGACCATTGGATAAGAACTTCCACTTTGAAGGAGGGCAGGCTAGCTGGCATCTCTGAGTCCTACTAACCTCTGCTTCCAAACGCACATTGTTCTTTAGAAGGTTCTCGAACGCCTGCTGTCCGCTCTCCCTGCCCTCCCCGCCCAGCCTCCTTCCTCATGACCTAGGAGGATGATTGTTTGTTTTCCCTGACATATTCACCCCTTCTTTTCCTTCCCTCACTACCTCTGCTCTCGGAACAGCTCAGAGGGAACCAGTCACATTATCAAGCAGTAATGAGTTACCAGAATTAGGTTATAAAGGGCAAACTTTGGCCTCTTGAACAAGACAGAAGCAGCCCAATGAGCTGAAGCGGAGATCAGAGCCAGGCCCGCCCAACAAGAGTGGCCAGAAACCAGGCCCTGAGTGTTACAGTGGAGCTCCTGGAGGTCAGGGCTGGCTCCCTGGCCTGGAGCAGGGAGAGGTCTGAGTGCAAGAACATGTGGAAGGGAGGAAACGGGGGTGGGGGTCAGAGGGACCACTCAGGGTTGGCAAGAAGGGGACTTGGTCATCGCATGGTATGCCCTCCACCTCTCGTTGGGAATACTCGTCTTCCAGGCAGCCCATTTCGTTTTCAGGAGGCTTTTCCTTTTATTGAGTCTTATTCTGTTGTGCCCTCCGAGGCCACACAGAGGAAGTCTGGAGTGGAGGTCTTTTTGATAGAAAAGCCCTGGAAAGTTGTGAAAATACTGATCAGGGAACACACCTCTTTTCCTGATGAATTATCAGGTTCCTGCAGTAGGTCCTTGGGTGGAATGGCCTGGAGAGCCCTACACCAGGCCGGATGCTCCCCCCCGGGAACACGTCCCCCTTGCCAGTGCCCGCCTTAAGCTGCTGGACTGTGAACGTCACGTGGCACTTGTGAGCTCTTCT